AACCATCAGTGACATAGAATCATGGAATGGTTTGAACTGGAAGGGACCCTTAAAACTTACCTAGTGTGACTCCCTTGCAATGAACAGGGACACCCACAGTTCGATCGGGTTGCTCAAAGCCTGGTCTGTCTCTCCTGCACTTTGCCCTTTCCTACCCAGGAATCCTGCAGTTTCACCTGTGGAGATTACTGCAAAGTGTCATTAGTGTTAATGAAAGTATCAGTGCTTGCAAGTACCAGGGTGCTCTCTGTGATTCTGTGATTTAAACAGAAGATTTTCTCCTCTAAAGTTCACTGAGAAGTGAAAATAGCACCAGAAGAAGGTTCATCGAGTGCTTGTTAAAAAAAACAAGGAGACTGCATCACCAAGACAAAAGGATTTCATGCGTAGGGCAGAGCTGATATGTGTCAAGGTGGGACACTTTCAAGGAAGATGGTCTTTCAAGACTTATTGGGATCCTGACCTGCCCAGGCAGGAGCAGCCTCAGTGCCCTAGCCAGCTCTAACCAAGGGGTATCCAACACTATTTTACCTTGTTTCCTTTCCCTTTTAAGAAATGATGATATTTTCCACGTAGGGTCATTCCAGCAGATGAAACACAGGAAGAAAGCTCTGATGTAAATGTAAATGTTTTCTTCCCCCAGGTAACGCTAAGGAGCTTGCCAGCATCCTCAAGTTCCACATGGCTGATGAGATCCTGGTGAGCGGCGCGGTCAGCGCGCTTGTGAGGCTCAAGTCCATGCAGGGAGACAAGCTGGAAGTCAGCATGGTGAGTCAGAGCTGACGGGACGTGGTCTGTGACCAAAGTCCATGTCAGGGCACAGAGGATGTCTGCTCAGTTGGGTTGTTTGTTGGGAGCCTGTCCTAAACGTGCATCGAGTCGCACCAAGCTGCGTTTCTGGGGCTGCAGTGGAGGGACTACTGCCATGTCAGCAAGTTGGCAACTTTGAAATGTGGTTTGCTTCAGCTTTCTCTCCAGAAGGCCAATTGTAAATGACTTCCAGGAGCTGTTATAAATTTAACCCTGAGTCATGGGGAAAAAACATAAATAAATCAAATGAATAGCTTGTTCAACTAACACGTCTTTTTCAGTGTAATGAAAATGATCTCTGCGTGGGCTCCTCTAACACAGCAGGAGTTATTTAGATGCGTAATTTCATTTCAGAAGTTCTGCACTCCATTAAGAGAATGTAGAATTCCTTATTGAGGACAAATATATATATCTCAGAAAATATGTAACTCACAGCCTTCTCTATGCATAAGGAAGAAAACGCAGGACAAAAATGGAAAGGTTGCTGCTCCAGAGTGTGTTGAGTTGGCCAACCCACGTGGCAGAGCTCTGCCATGTCCAGCCATGGTCTGCTCACTCCTGCTCCAATCCCCATAGTAATCCCTCCTTATGCCAAGATGCTGGTGCATGTGAAGTGTTTCCACCCAGCCCACAGAGAGCCTGTGCTTCAAAACCTGCTGGCTGCTCTGCTCAAGCTATCATTTGGTTTTATACTCTTCTCAATTGGCAAGGGAAGTGAAAACGCTTACAACCATCTAGTAAATGAATGAGTTCAGATGAAGGTTTTACAAAATTGGAAAGCACTGATGACAGAAGTTTCTCGTTTTCTGCTTTTTCACTTTATTTTCTCCTCCTGAACAGAAAAACCACGTCATACACGTCAACAAGGAGCCCGTTGCTGAAAGCGACATCATGGCCACAAATGGTGTGATTCATGCTGTGAGCTCCGTCTTGCAGCCTCAGGGTAGGTTGGAAGTGCTTTGAGCCACACCATTACAGCAGAACTGTCACCAAAACCACCTCTTGTGTAAAGTGAGTGACATAAAACACGGAGCAGACCGTGCATGGGGATGGGTGTGCAGCACAGCCTGCTCTTGCTGCAGCAGGTGCTCTGCTGCCGTGCCCTCTGGGAGTTGTGGTCTCTCCATCTCTGCTTTAGGAGGGAGCAATTACTTCATTTTATTGTGGATGTTATGGGATTTTCAACACACGCTTTGAAATACTATAAGGGAGCAGCCTGAGTGCTTTGAATGCCCTCTATATATGTTAATATCTATCTATCTGGATATGTATCTCTGTGTCTGGTATTTCAGTGCTGTCTCTGTCCCACTCTTAGCTTCAAGGCCACAAGAAAGAGGTGACGAGCCTGCAGATCCTGCATTAGAGATCTTCAAACAGGCATCTGCTTTATCTAAGGTAAAAAGCAAAAAATCCACCGTTGTGGAACTACTGAAATTACATTTTGGTAACAGTGATTTGAAGATAACGTCACACTGAGATTTTGGCTTCCAAAGAGAGTAAATATATATGTTTTCTGGTTTGATCCATCGTCTTTTCTTTATTTAATTGTCTAAGAAGTGGTACTTTTTCAACATGAAGGCTACCATTGATAGCATACCTTGTACGCCTTGCTGTGTATGTCAACCTCCAATAATGCAAATGGCACCAAAGAGTCATTTATCTGCCTCTTCTTCTGCACTTTTGGCAGCGTGAGGAGAACTAGCAAGTAGCTAAGGATCAGAAATGGAAATATTCTAGTTAGTAAAGCTGTTGTGTGTAACAGTTTGGAGACTACAGGTGGATGTATTGGCGTGCAAAGCCTTACAGCTGTCAGGGGTTTGTTGTAGTTATTCAAACACGATGTTTTCTTCCCAATGCAGGTTTCTCAAAGGAATCCTCGGCTAGGTAAGGCAACCTCTCCGCTTCTCCACTCCACCATATGTCCCATCCCTTAAAGAGCAATATATTCTGTGCTCTTGCTGCAAGCGAGATGCAGCATACCCAGGAGGGCAGCGTGTCCGTGTGTCTTTCCCACCCAGTTTGCTTTTCCCCTTTGCAGCGCCCGTCTACTCCCGGCTACTGGCAAAGATGAAGGAGAACTCGGGTGGCTTCTGACCGTGCCCAGTGCCTCCATCCCCTCGCCCTGCCCACGCCACGGGGGAAGGACAGAATTGTTGAAAACCAAATATCGCCCTTAAGTTTATTTTTGTTTCCAATGGAATGGATCAGAAAAATGAAAAGCCATATATATATATGTATATATTTTTAAGGCCGTTTTTATTTGGTTTTGATCACCAAGTTTCCACCTTGAGGATAGTTGGGTTGGTTTTTTATGACAGGCCCAGTTTTGGGCTTGCTTTCTATGACAGAGATGTGCAGGTGCCTAATTCAGCCCTGGTTCAGCAGCACAGAGAGATGCTTAGGGCTCATTCTGGGGCTGCCTTGCTTGGGGGTGAGTTAAGGCCCCTGCTCCAGGCTCCCAGCTGTGGGCTCTGCAAAAACCAGGCTCCCAAAGCAGAAAGCTGGGCACGAGCTCTGCAAAACCCCCATCCAAACCAGGGCCAGAAGTGGGAAATGTTGGTTGGAATGCTCTGTGGGTGTTCAGCTTTCTGAGCAAAGGTGTCACCAGAGTTGCCAGCTGTACCACCAATGGTGACTGATTTGGAGAAGGTAAATTTGAATTCATTAACCAGTACCCAAACAATATGTATATTTTTTTAATTATTATTTTATTGGTTTTTCTTTTGTTTGGCTGGGTTTTTTTTTTTGAACAAACATTGGTTTCCTTCTTTGTTTTAAACGTCAACCATACAATTCTCATTTGATGGCTTTCAACAGAAGCCTCTATTGACTTTGAAGAAACTGCATAATTATAAGCTATGGATTGAACAGTTCTCTCTCTTTTTTATTTTTAATTGGGTTTTGTTTGTGCCTATGGATTTTAATTTTTGTTCACAAAAAGTATTGAATTGAGAGTTCTCCCTGGCAGAAGTCTTCCATTAAATGGTGCCTTTGTAATAATGGTTGTGGGTTTTGTTTTGTTTTTTTTCTTTTGTAATAAAAAAAATTAAAAATAAAATCAAAAATATAAATACAGGAAACATTGGTAATCCTTGGGGGATTTTTATTGTTTGTGTGTAACTGCTTGGTGGTGTTTGGTGAGGAGGGAGGTTTGTATCAGGGCAGATTGGTGTTTGCATACCTAGTAGCGAATTGTTCTTTTCTTGTCCTCTGTGTCTGTCATTTTTTGGGTCTGGAAAGCAGATGAGCAGAGGGACAGCTGAACAACCACCAGCCATAGCAGCAGAAAGCAGATGAATCCAAAAGTCATTTATTTTGCTTCTCCAAAAATATTGCCCTCCCCTCAAACCGAGAGGCTCCCTGCAGGCTGGGCTTTGCCATCCATGTCTGGGAATGGCTGGGCTGGCTTCAGTGCTCCCCTCCACAGGGGTAGGGATGCAGGGCAGCCCCAGACACTGCAGGGCTTGATATCCAGCACAGCTCTTGGGGCTCAAGGTGTCCCAGAAATGTACTTAGGGATTAAAGTGCTCCCACACCCATCCTAACCAGCAGCAGCGTTGTGTCCCAAGGGCACCATTGGCCACAGCACTATGCTTGCAGCACTTCACCCTCTTTGGGGCTCTGTATTTATTCCCTGACTGGGTATTACCTGTAGTGAAATCCATGATTACCAAGGAAAAAAGAAAAAGGGTATCAAGTGCAGCATGCAAAAAAAAAAAGCAACCAAAACCCCAGATGGCTTTGGTCACTCTGGCTGAGAGATGCACTTTTTCTTCCAATAAAAGCCCAAACTGAAATCCCATCTGCTGTACAGGAGCCATCTGCATAATTCAGATGCGCGAAAAACAATCAGCCTCTTATTTCCCTTCCCCAGCCTCCCATCTCATCATCTTGTTTCCCTGGGGTGCTGCAGCCCTCTGTTATTTAAGCCTGGAGTGATGGGGAATGCTGTGAGCCGCCCATTCCAGCCCCAGGAGACAGGATCCTGGGGGAGGCTCAGCTTTTTGCAATCAGGATGATTAATTGTAGACTCATACAAAAACCTGAGAGAGGAAAAAAAAAAAAAAAGCCTTTTTGTGGGTTCCTTAGTAGAACATGTAGGGATAGGGGCAGTCTTCCTGTTTAGTTTTGTTTTTGTTTGGTATCATCTGTTTATTCCTTTGATACTTCAAGAATAAGTGATACAAAGCCCTCTACCATTTGGGAAGTAGATCTGCACCTTCTCAAGGTGAGTGCCTTTTGCTGGTACCTTGTGTCTGACTTGGTGATGCTGGGTGTTTCTTGGCAAAAATGAAGCTGCTGCAGCAGACAGAACTTTGCCTGGGTGTGCTTAGCACCTAGGAGCATCCCATCTGCTGGCAGAGAGCTTTATCTCCTAGGAACAGAGCTCTGGCTTCCCACCTCCTGGTTTATGGGCAGGCATTGGGTCTAATGGCGATGTAGGGGTGGTCTCTTTGTGTTCTGTGCATGCCTGATTTGCCAGGCTTGCTTGGTAAGGGACACAAATTCTATGAATGCCAGTGGTGCCTGCAGCAGCTCCCCCAGCGCTCTGGCTGCGGGTTTCTTGTCTCACTCTGTTGAATTCCCTGGAATCCCACATCCTGGGTCCTGGGGAGCCTTCCTGTGGGCTCTGTGCTTGGAAACCCTCAGTGCTTTGGTGCCTCCAGGCTATGGTTTGCATTGGTGGAAACTCTGGAGATGACATAGTCCCCTTCTCCAGTGACTATAGAATGATTTAGGTTGGAGGAGACCTTGAAGATCATATGGTTCCAACTCATGCTGTGGACAGGGTTGCTCCTCACTGGATCAGACTGCCCAGGGCCCTACTAACCTTATCTCGAGCACCTGAAGGGATGGGGCACCCACAGCTCTGGGCAGCTTGTGCCAATGCCCTGATCGGCAGCCCTGATTCAGGAGCATTTTCCCCCTTTCTGTGAGCAGAATCAGGGCAGTGCCAGCAGCTGTCCCACAGTGAGATGGTATTGCTTCCCCTGACAGAGGCATGGAGGGAGGAAGCAAGAGGCAAGCAGCTGGGAGATGAGGAAATGAGGAGTGCTGAGGCCATGGGAACGTCCAACTCAGCTGCCATTTTCTGAAGAGAAATTCTGTTTGTTTGTTTGTTTTTTTTAATTATTTTTTATTTTTTTTGCACTGTAATTGAGGGTGGAAGTGAAAGGCGGAAGGAAATGGCTGGTGGTGTGGAGAAACACAACTGCCTTAGGGAAGTGCTGGCTGAAGGGCACAGAGCTGCACCAGGCAGGGAAATGGAGGAATGTCCCAAGCCTTGGGCTGCAGTGGGATGGGAGCTGGAGGTCCCCTCTGCACCCATTTCCAGGCAGCACTGGAGTGGGAAGAGAAGGGTTAAGGCAATTTCTGTATGTGCCAGTGCAGGAATGCTGCTGGCAGCATCCTGGGCATTGCAACCAGTGCCATGGGCAAGCAAACAGTAAGATTGGTCTTCTGGGGTATGCAGCCCATGGGTGTGCTACACTGCATTGCTGAGCTCTTACAGCTGGAGCATTTCCACCCCAAAACCCAGTGTTTGTAGGTGCATGCAGCTATAGCAGGCAGGTCTGTTCTGCATCATAGCTCCTTCCAGGGCTGGGGCATCCCAGCAAGGAGACAAAATGAGAGCAAGTATGTGCCTTCTCAAGGAGATTTCAGTCTAAAAGGGAAGAAAGTAAATAAGAGTGTGTTTTCCTATTGAATATTTTCAGGACTGCACAGACTCCCTTGTTTACTTTTCTATAATACTAACTCCTTCACTTGCCATGGCTCCAGTTCAACAAAGTAACTGATTGCACACTGAACGGACAAACATAGCTTTTAAGTGCATGCTCTGCAGGGTACTGGCTTCTTGTGGGTGCTCAGCCCTCACGCTGATGTGCAGTGGGCAAATTCCATCTGCTGGGTACAGTGATGTGGGCGTCCCAGCAGGGATGGGCAGCGGTGTCACTGAGGGGATGGAAGCTTCACACTGAATGCGAAATGGTTCATTTTGGGGAGCTCAGTGCAGTGGGTTTGTGCATTTATATCCTAAGACAAGAACCAGAGCTGCTTTCCTTCTAGAAAATTCAGACTTTTCCAGTGGCTTTCTGCAAATATATTTATTTTATGAAAAGCAATGCTGTGCTCTGTCTCAGGAGTGCTGCAGTGGAAAACATGTGCTCCTCCGGCAGCACGGAAATTTGGGAGCACCGAGTTTGGCTGATGAAAGGAGCTGAGAGCCAACCCGCCCCGTGCTGGAATTTGGGTGGTTGGGGTCAGGGGGGAGGTGGGTGTGCACCCACCTGGGTGTGAAAGGACAAGGCCTTCACCGTGTCAGAGGGCAGGCAGTGAGCAGGGGATGAATGCAGCCATGCACTGCATCCAGATGTGCTGCGGGGTGACCCCTCCAAGGCAGAGCCAAGGGCAGGGCTGAGCCACCCACATGCCATCACTGTTAGAAACCTGTTCCTGCTCTGCTGCTGTCTGCTTGCTTGACGTGGTTTATGGGAAGTCATCACACCTGCGAGCTGTGGTCTCAGGAGAAGTGCAAAGAAAAACTCGTGTGATGTCAGTGCAGGGGAAGGATGGGCTTGAGGGAGACGTGGGAATCAAGGCAGCCAGCTGCAGCTCCAGCAGCTCGTGGGTTGTCTCTGAGCCCTTTTTGGTGACACATCAGGGAGTCTTTGCAGAAACCTGTAACTTCCTGGCAGACAAATGTTCTTTCCAATGATTAGCGATGCCTTTCTGTTTTGTAATGTTCTTTTGAGTAAGCAGTTTGCAGGAGTCCAGAACTGCTCCTACGAAAGGTCACTTGGCAAAATGCAGAGTGGCATCAAGTGCCACTGAGAGCATGGAGGTCCTCCTGCTGGGGCTTCCCCAGGGAGAAGCTCAGCACCTCCTGGAAAGGGAAACAGTAGGAAAGGTCGGTTTGCTGGATGCTGCCATTGAAGGAAGTTTTTGAGAGCTGTCATGAGCAAACCCTCTTTCCTGGGATGCGTACCCCTGACTCGTTGGCAGTTTTTCAGAGGTTGGTTTTCTGCTGGGCTCTGAGCTTGCAGGCCATCTCCTCTTTCATTCACACCCTTTCCAAAGGGATTTTCTCTACTTCTGTTTTTTTTTCCATGCACTACTTGTGCATCAAGCTCTAGTGTCTGTGACAAACGTAAACCTGGTTGTATTATAACTGCTCCTTTGGGAAGAGAATCAAGATCTCCTGTTTGGAAATCAGTTGTGCAGAACCTGTTGGCCCTCAGAGGGCACTCACTAAATTTTTGGTTTTATGAAGCCAGACAGATGAATTCAGAAATTGCACCAGTGCTTCTGTGCAGCAGTTTGAGCATTCTGCCTTTGGCTCAAAGGTTATACAAAGAGGATGGGTGCCCCATTTCAGTGTCTAAGGGGAAAGCCATACATCCTCCAATACTACTCTGCTATTCTTGTTCACAGTGCTCTTAGAGCTGCCAACCAGAGGATGGATCCGTGGAGAGGTGAGGTGGCACCATGCCTGCAGCCATGTACCTTATCGTTAAAGCTGACTTTATAACACCATTCTGAGGGCCTCTGGTTGGTGCAAGCTGTAAGCTTTTTGATCTCTGTAGCCAGAATGGCATGCGTGCTTCTAGCAGTGCCCATTGCTTTGGGTGTGGGACACAGGGTGGTGGCCTCCAACTTGGGGCTGTCTCACATGGGTGTCCTGCAACATCTAGCTCAGTCTGATCCTACAGCTGGGCGGGTAACAGATCATCATCTCTCCAATCATGCAGACAGCAAACTACTCGGATAGAAATACTTACAAACTTGTCCCTGACTGCGGGGCATCCATTCCTGCACTCCAGCTGGAGGTACCTGATTGTGCAACACTTGTTCCCATGGGTGACGGGAACACACCCCACTGATTGCCCACGGATGTGGACTGGCACCAGCAAGTGATTAAACCAGCAAATATGGCTGGTTCCCTTCCTTAGATTGTAACTAAAGAGCAGGAAAAAGTGAAATAAACAACACGAAGCTGCAGAGCAGTCACGCAAGGCAAAGGGAACCAAGGAGCATCAGCAGAAAGTGCTCTGGGAGCACCATCTGTGAGCACTCCAGGGTCAGGAAATGCTGCTCCTGATGGGGTTCATGGTACGAGCGTGCATGGCCGGAAACAGACTAGGGGTGAGGCGATGCAGTTGTGCCTTTCATTTGCTCAGCATCTTTTTTTTTTTCCCTTTTTACATAAATCCAGCAAACGGGGAACTTAAAGTCGCATTTCTCATAGAAGATTTTTGACTGCAGAATTGCTTGTGGATTTTCTTCTGTAGGGTTGCTTTTAGCTCATATCCTTGCTGCTGTTATCCTGAAGCATAAGGAAATGGTGGCAAGTGGCCGTGGCAGAGCCCCAGCCCAGGGACAGGGCAACGAGCCAGCAGGGCACCCCTCCAGGACTGGGGTGCATTGCACCATGAGCTCACATATAGGGTCCTGCAGGCTGCTGTACTGACATACACACAGGAACATACCCTTTTTCCAGAAATAACCAGAAAACCAGACAGTCTCGGGGCTGTCTGATTGCCTTTACAGTTACTGTCTGGTTACCTTTACCCTGTGCACCTTTACAGTAAGAGGTGCAGCTTCTGTTTCATCTTAGCAGCTCCTGAAGCAATTCCATTGCCTCATTGTTTACTAGGTTTCCTGCTCCCCTGAGCTGCTGGTCAGGAAGCTGTTTGCCTGCTCTTCCTTTGTCTGTCCCCAAGAGATGGCACTGAGGGTCAGAATGGGTCAGGATGCCATGTGCCCACTGTGTAAAAGCCTTGATGAGAGAAAGGAGGTGCTGAGATCCTTCAGAAAGCTGTGGGTGGATGTGTTCAGAGAATCAAGTGCTGCCTTTATCTGGGCTCTGCTTTCTGCTCTTATTTTAATATGGCATTTAGGGGACAATTGCAGGACACAGTTTGGTCATGCGCATGGGGAGCATGGATTGCTTGGGGCTGGTGGCAGGGAGGAATGCTCTGCTGAAGTGCTGATGTATTTCTGCACTCCCAACCTGGGGATGCTCGGGGGCACAGGGGAGCACAGTGAGTAATGCACCGAGTAGGTGGTCCCAGGCCTGCTGCCCAAACGTTCCTCTGAGCTACTATATTTGGATACCACGAGCAAAGTGACTTCACCTTCCTGTTTAGAAACAGCCCCCGAAGCTGCAGCCCCATTGCTGACGCTCACCCCACAGCAAACCTTCTCCTCCTGCAGCACGAGGGCTGCGAAGCTGTGCTGCTCCTGCTTAATTGTAACCAGATTCCCCAAGCAATGTCTGCTGCAGTATTTATAAATACCGCAGCCAGCAGCTGCTAATGCCAAACAGGAAATTTTAAGCTGAACAAACTTTTCCACGTTTCTAAGTGGGAAAAGTAAACTGTAGCTAAGATCTTTTTTTTTTTTTTTTTAATGGAAAAAAAAGTCTAAATAGCAACAGGCTTCCATATCCTCAGAAAGGTTCATGATTCTTGAAGTCTCAGTGCTTTGCAGGTAGCCCTTCCTGTAAGCAGTGTCTGCAGAGTGATACGGAAGGTGGCTAATTTATTGACTTATCTTAAAAGCAGGCCTCAACACAAAACACAAGCCATTGTGTTGTATGGTGTGGCAGTCCAGTTAGTGATGCAGCCTATAAATTAGGGCTGTTTGGGGCCAGAAATGGGCTGTTGGGAAGCTTTCTGTAGCAGTATGTGTTGTACGTGCTCTCATGGTAGCATCCCATCTCAGTGGATTAGTGTTCTGAGCTATTAATATAATTGTTAGTGAAAATAATGAAGAATTTGAGTGGAAAATGATGAGTTAGGGGTGAAGCCTATGTGAGCAACGGCCACCAGAAGGAAATCAGCCCTTGGTATCTGGCATTTTGTGTTTTGAGCTCTTTTCCCCTGAAGCTGTTTTTATTTTCTAGGATTCTCTTGTTTCTGCTCATTTTGTGAGCTGGGATCGAGATGCTATGTTGGAGTGCTAAGGCATAGAAAAATGTAACACCAAATCTTAGTGGATTTGTTTGCTTTAAACAACTTCTGCCATTTATGAAGTCACCAAATTCCTTCTTCAGGCGAAAGGCGTTATTAAGCTTTTAAACTGATTTGTGTCACTTCATAGACAAAGGTGTTGAAATTGAGATGAAATGAAGCAGATGTCCTCACTGTGCCTATTCTGAAATCACATTCTCCAAATCAAACATCTTCCAAAATGAAGAGGAGAAGGATAAACTATACCAGGAGTGCTTGGAAGTAACTCGCTATCTTCCATCTTGCCATCGCCTTCGTGCACAAGTATTCCTCAATCTTGTTTTTCAGTAAACTCTTATGATAATGCCTTAATGGGAAGAGTCTTTTGAAGTCTTGTTTTGATACTAAGGCTTTTACTGTTTTTGAATTCCTTTGATAGCCATTCCTTATCCAGTTCCTTGGTGAGAGTGGATTTGCTTTCGAATGGTGGCTGGTCGATGCCTTGTGTGATCCCTTGATGTAGATCTTGCAACCACGTGCAGATGAGGAGATGACTGAATTTGTTTCCCTGCTTTCATGCATCAGAGCTCTTGGAACAGCCTCAGTTCTTCAGTCGGCTGTTCTGTGCCTCTTGTTCGTATTCACATGTCCTCAGGGTCAGCTTCATCCCCTGACTACAGGGATTCGGCAACCTGCAGATGCAAAACAGAACAGCTGAGCCAAGGTCAGGCACCAGGGCTGTGGCAAGGAAGAGGTCTATTTACTAGTTTTGAAAAGCCATCAGTGAAATGCCCCTCCTGCATAACTGATGAGAAAATTCTGGTTGCCTATTATTAAGCTCTAGGAGCTTTGCTTCTCCCCCAGATGTAACGCTGTTTGATTTGGGGTTATTTTTAAAGCTCTGCTCATCAGCCTGAATGGGCATTGCCTGACCTCTCTCTCTATTTATTTTAATGTAAATAAGTGTGACAGAGTTATTCAGATGTTCTTCTCTCAATTCCTGTGTAATTATTAGGGAATGGCAAGGACACGGTGGAACTGAGAGCCCATTCTTCAGGTTTTTGGGGAAAAACACGTGGAAGTGGGTAACTGTGTCTCAAAAAGCAGAATTGGCTCACTCCAAACCAAGGCAAACATTGAATCATGAGTGCATTGGCTTGCACCATTCATTGCCAAACGTCAGGTTACAGATGGTTCGGTGTGAAACATCACCATGACAGCTTGAATAGCGAGATGTGAAAAGAGGGACAAGCTACAGATCTAATACAACAGCTGTCTTCTGTAGCGTGGGTTGTTTAAGGTAAAGGCAAATTGGAATGTCCATAAAGAGTGAAAGTAACTGGCCAAAGCCCTGTGTGCCAAGTCCCTGCTGAGGTTGCATCGCTCCACCATGCCTCAGGCTCTGGACTTAACGCACTGAGCTGGCCTGGAATCTTTATTACACTTCCTAGCAAATTAGATCTGGTTAAGGAATTTTCCAGTCAAACCTTCCTTTGCTGGGAAATGTGGATTCAGTGAAACCGTAACTTTGTGAAACATATGAGACAAGCTCTTATTATACCAAATTTTCCACCCATGGTAAAAGGGATGGAGGCTATCACAGCATAACTTACACTTGCTTTGACAAGCTGAGGTTGGTATTTCAGGCTGAATTTCAGCTAAAATGGAGCTCACCTCCACCTTCCCTGACTTCTGGGAAGTATCAGGTGCTCACCAGTGATGGTAGCTGCTTAGAAAAAGATGGAAAAGGGGAAGAAATGCCAGTTCCTGGTTTTAAGCTGCTCTGTGAAGGATAGCTTCCTTCACTCTGTGCTAGGCCAAGGGAGTCTGTCCTGCTGAAAGTGAGACTGCATCTTGAAACAGATTTTCTTACAGATGAATCAAGGCTCTCAGAACTGCAACCATCAGAAAGAGTGAGGCTCTGCTCAGCTGACACTGCAGTTGCACCTACTAACATCCCTACAACAATAACATGATGCTTGGGCTGTAGGGCAGGAGAGCAGGACCTGGGAGCAAAGGCAGAATTATATTGTTGTGGGCATCTGCCTAAGCCACAGCCTGAACGCCCCCCATTCTGGTAATTCTGGGCTTGTCTCTAATTACATGGATTGTGATGTACACACCTTGCTGGGCTCAGCCTGGACATTAATGCCCTTTGGGGACCGATACATGCCACACCGGCCAAAAGCAAATGTATAATATATTTATGAATGCTGCTGTTGCAAAAGACATCCACCCACCAGTATCTGTTAATAGATGCAACACTCCGTGTACTTGAGTTATCTACTCCCAGCCCACTCCATCATGTAAAGCTCGTACCTGCTGTTTCCCTCATTCATTTTAACCAGGACAGGAATTCAGACGAGGATAGAGAAATGTGAGGTAGCACAGCACCTGCTCACAGCCCCTCCAGTGACTTCCAATGGCCATGCCTGGTGGTAGGCAGCTCCTGGCTAGCTCCTTCTTTGCCCCATCTCAACTTCACAGTGCTGTGCTGCAGACCTTGGCGTTATGCTCGGAATGATGCTGAAGCTCAGCTGATGTTGTCAGCCACACAGATCTGCCTCTCTATTTCAGTAGACTGCCTAAATGAATTTGTACGCATTTTACCATACCCATTTTAGCTACCTGTGGAAGATTACCTGTCCTTTTGCAACTGTGTGCTTATGGGAAGCAGGCTACTGTAGGGTTTTAGTCTTTGATGGCTGTAAGTACTGCTTGCTTCGTATTGGCAAAGACTCTGGAATTTGTTCTGTGCTTCATCTGCTGGCTTTTAAAGAGAATTTTTGTTGCTTTTTATGAGCCTTGTGTAGAAAATG